CGCACACATATCATCAAGCATTGCTTGATGTCAAGTGAGATGTGAGAGAGCTTCTTCTATATTCTTAGGAATAGAAACTGACACATATATTGAGAAGAATATATATAGTGATATGACAAAGCACCATAATAAGGAGAGCGGTTACGAGTGAAACGTATACCTTTTCGAATTGTAATAGAGAGATTAGTGTCAGGTGATAGGGCTAGAGGAGGCACATGTGTTGGAATTGACGGAGGGTCACATGTTATGTCAACAGTGGGCAAAGGTGGCCAATGATGATACACTTGTAACGGATGTAGAGGAGGGTAATCAATAGGAGGTGTAACATCTAGTGGGTGAAAAATAACTAGAACTGGTGGTGAAGGTATGATAGACTCTGGTTCTAACTTAGACACTGTAAGAGAACTTAAAAAAAGGAATAGGCTCAAAGAAAGTAACATTAACAGATACAAAATAACATTTAAAAGTTGGAGAGCAACACTTATAACCCATTTAAGAACGACTATAACCAAGAAAAACACATTTGTGGGCACGAGGAGAGAGTTTTGTCATTACTTGAACTAAGATTATGGGTAAAGCATATGGATCTAAACACACAAGATAGAGTATGGTACCTGATTATGGAGAACAGAAGAAGGTAGTCGATTGATAAGGTAACAAGCTATCAAGATGGCATCTCCCTAAAAATGATATGGGACACAACTATGTAAAAATAGAGTGCGAATAGTTTCAACAAGGTGTCTGCTTTTTCTTTCAGTAATTCTATTTTGTTGAAGAGTATGAGCACAAGAAGTTTGATAAAGTATGCCATTAGATGCCATGAAATTTTGAAAGGAATGTAACATGTACTCCTTAGCATTATCACTATGTAAAGTGCGAATTAGAAGACCAAATTGAATTTTAATTTCATTAAAAATATTTTGAAAAATAGAAAATAATTTAGAATGATCTTTCATTAAAAATGCAACAAGAATAATCATCAATAAAAGTAACAAAACACCTAAAACCTAAAGTAAAAATAGTACAACTAGGACCTTAAACATCAAAATGAACCAAACTAAAAGAAAATACAGCTTGCTTTTTTCATGACTCAGAAAAGAACTATGAACATGTTTTCCTAGTTAACATGACTCACAAAAAAGTGTATATAACTAAGAGAGACTTGGCATCAATAGTTGTAGTTTTTGAAGACTCAAATATCCCAACCTAGCATGTGAAAAAAGAAGGGAATCCACCGCCAAACTAGCATGTGTGAGGGGTTGGAGTTGATAAAGTCCATGTGACTCATAGCCAGTACCAATCATCTGTCCCGTCATCTGGTCGTGGAGAAAAATAGAATTTTAGTAAAGGAGACAACACAATTAAGTGTGTGAGTGAGCCGACTTATAGATAAAAGATTAAAAGGAGACCCATAAACATATAAGACATTGTCGATAGATAATGATGAAAGAAGAGAGACAATGTCAACACCTTGAGATTGTGTTTGAGACCTATTGGCCATAGTAACAAAAGGTAAGTACCCAGATGTAGAGAGGGAGGAAAAGAGAAATTTGTTACCAGTAATATGATTAGTGACACTTGAATCAAGCACCCATGGACCAAGAGATGGGGAATGAGAATCACCAACAAAATAATTACTCGTGTATACAACAGAAGCTGTGGAACCAGAGGCTAAACGATCTCCATACCAACAAAGGAAATCGTTGAAGAGTGTTAGTGAGATGTTGCGAGTGGAAGCATGTTTGAGAAGAGCAAGAGTCGCCATGGGTCAACCACTAGTGTGAATAATGCTGGCAGAAAAGTCGTCGGCAAGGAACAGTTCTACCGAAAAGTTGTTGGTGAATGAACATTAGCAACTGGAAAAAGTATTCAACGAGTGAATAGTATAGTCAGAAAAGTCGCTAAAGGATGAACAATGCAGTCAGAAAATTCGCTAAATAGTGAGCAGTGCGGCCAGAAAATTCACTAGAGAGTGAATAATGCTGTTAGAAAAAAAAATAGAAATTGGAGAAACACAGTTTCTGAAAAAAAAAATTACACCTATGAGCTGTGGGCCCACAGAGAAAGAACGAATTAGGATTTCTTCCTTGTTAGACCCTTGATATCATGTTAAGATGAGAAAAAATAAGAAGGCATGAAAGAAATTGTGTCTCAATTATACCACAGAATATATATTTATATTTATAACGAGAATTATAATTATAGCTACAAAATTAAAGACAAATATATGATTATTTAATTACTTTAATTATATAGATATTATTTTTTTAAATAATATATTTAACAAAGTTAATTTTATATAATTTTTTATATTTTTTATATTTTTCTTAAATAAATCTATTTTTGTTTAAGTAAAAATAAAACTGAACGTCAATTTCTATGTTAACGGGACTGAATCTTTCCCTTCTTTGCAGAGGTATTTCAGTTTCATTTTTTCCCTTTTACTGGCAGCGATTGAAAAAAAGTTATGGTTTGAAATTTGAAAAGAATAAACGATGCAAATGACACATCCCATATTATCTTATTATTCAATGATTGCTGAAAGAACCATTCCAATATTCCCCATCCTTCATACACACTGATATGAATTGTTTAACTACTACTTTTCAGTAATCTTCAAGCCTAAACTTAACCTAACATTAAACAATGATAGCGCCTCTCTTTTTCTCCTAACAGCAATAACTTATAGCTTCAAAATCAAATGTTTATTACACACGCCATGTATATACATATTTACGTAGATCCTTGTTTATTACCTTTTGCAACCCTTTGTCCCATTTCTTAATTAAATATGGGACAGAATGGAACCCGAAAAATAACAGTAAAGATGAGAGTATAAAAAGATGTTTTTTTTCCCATTCATCTGAAGTGCACAGCTTGGGTACTAATTTTATAAATAAATAAACAAAAAAATTATCATATTACAAGACAGGAATGGTGCAGTTTCAAAAATATGCGATGTGCTCATAAATTGGAGTTACACAAATGATTTTATTTTAAGAATTACTTCACTATTATTAATTTTAATATGATTTTTGTATTATGCTCGGGTATTGTGGAAGTCAGCTTGATAACGTTTTGAATGCACTATCTCTTCTTTTCAATCAAAAGCAACTCATTTATTGTACCAAAACAATAAGCAAGTTATTTATGTCTCTTCATTAGAACTAAGAAAATCATTAGAATATTTCTTACCAATTGGCCTGCTTGTATTTGATACCGATAAGACTATTTTGTATAATGTAATAATGAAGCATAAATTCATGGTAAGGGATGACAATATATTAGTTATATATATTTATTGAATATTTGTAAAAAAAAATATTTATAATGAGCTAAAAAAAATATCTATTTAATAAGTTTAAGTTAAAATGTAAATAAATATTCTCAAATTTTGATAATTACGGGTCCAGTATCTATTTACGCATGCAGTTGCACTAATATATATATATATATATATATATATATATATATATATATATATAAAGATATATAACATAAATATATATAAACAAATTATATATAATATTAAAATTCCATACCTCTGGTATATTTTAATTTAGCATTTTATTATATTTTACTTGAATTTCTATAAATAATTTTATTTGTAATTTTATCGTATGAAATATTTTTAAAAATATATTTATTTTATAATAATATTTATGATTCATTAGTTCATAAAAAATTGTTTGAGAAAATTATATTTCAGTTAATAAGTCAACAAGTAATAGATAGGTATGAGAATTTAAATACTCAATTGGTATGAAGATTACAAGATGGGTGATGAAAATTGTTAATGGATACAGATGATTTTTTTTAAAAACATAGGTATACAAAGAGATACTATAATATCCTATTCAAAATTTACCCATTGGCATCCCTGTTAACTACAAAACATGAGGTTACTAAGCTTGCATGCTGACAGTGACATGTAGATAACAAGAATGTAATATGTCTTTTATTTTATTTATTTTAAATTTATGATAATATTTTAAAAAATGATATTTTATTTTCACTGCATTTTATTCACATTTTACATCAAACACAAATTTAATTTCAGTGAGTGTAGTTGTATCAGTCAAAAACTAGATAAAGTCACATAAGCAATTTTAAAGAGATTGTGCCGAGATAAATTCAAGCAAATTTTTTTCAAGGGATAAATTTTTATTATATTGTGTTCAAAGATTAATTTTAAGTTGAACAGAAAAATTTAAATTTTATAATTAGTTTATGAATGATAAATATTGTAAATTAGCTTTATAACCATTTTGTTATCTATTTATTTAAAAGCTATAAAAAAAAGGAAAGAAAAAAAATACAAGCGTTTATTAAATTTAAATAATTTTGATATTTCTTAAGATCAAACATAAAGTGTGTGTATGTGCAAGACTGATTTCACGCATGTTTAATTTTAAATTTGGAATTTATGTATTTTAGAGAGATTTTATCACTGTCGATTTATTAAATAAAGATATAAACATTTGAATATTTAAAATAATCGTAATTAACTAAATTTCGTTAATCCATCTATATTTATTAATGAGAGCCTATTCTCTTGAGTGTAGTTAAATATTCTAGTGTATTTTTCCTTTTTAAAATTTTAATTTATATTTCTTTAATATATAATTTAAAATTTTACTTATACTTTTAAATCTTATTTAAATTAGTGATATATTTCAATTTTAAATATTTTAAAATGTGGATTCCTTTCTAAATAAATTTTGCACTTGACTTAAATATTAAAAAAATTGAATTATTGGTGGTATAACTGTAAAGAGGAAAGGGTATAAGATTCGGGTATTTAGGTGGAAAATAAATTTTGTTTTGTTGGCACATGATAAAAAATTCACTAGCAAGATTGATTAACCGTAAAGAAAAGCAGTTATGGTTTAATTGGGCCGAGCTAATAATAAGAGTAGCCACGAGGTAGCCACCAACCTTATAATAACACATGCTACGCTACATTGCTACGGGGTCCCAAGTCCGTGATTTTTATCAATACCAACGAACGTTGTGCGCGCTTACAGTTACTAATCTCTCTCTCTAAATTCTAAACTCTACCCCAACTCGGTTAGATGATCAAATATCTCTTCGCTACGAAACTGAAAAATGCCAGGCACAACATGTAAAGTGGTCCAAAACGGCAATATTTGTTTCACCAGGTTTGTCTCAAAACGCTCTCAAACTTGGTACACTTGGCTTTATGTATCGGTCTCCGTATAACTAATGCGTGTTAAAAAGGTTTTCGGTGCGGAAATAATAATTAAATTATTATAAGGCTTAGACACGGATGAGTTGGTGAAATATATGATGCTGATGATGATGGTCATGAGACACAGATCATTTCATCATTGATGGGGAAAAAGGGAGGCAGTTGGTTCTCGTCGGTGAAGAAAGTTTTCAAGTCATCTTCCAGAAACTCGCCCGTGCCACCGTCAGTGCCTGTGCCGGAGAAGGTGGTCATTTATTCTCCTCTCTTCTTCTTATTCTTCTGTTGCTTTAAAACGTTTAGTAGATTATTTCACTATGGTTAAATGGATTAGAGCTGCCCCATTCCAGACATCCCCAACTATGTCCATGCTTAAATCGTTTCCCTGACGTTTATTTCAATGCTACTTATTGTAATTTTGCGTTGAATTCATTTTTACTAGTTTTTCAATATGAATTCAAACACTGATTTATTTGCAGGTGCTGTTATGATACTTCATTACTTTTTTCTTCACAACAATAGGAGCAATTAGTTAGTTGTTTTTAAAGGGGAAAGACCATATAGCCTTGCTGGCTGCGGTTAGCATTTGTATTCCGAAATTGTTTTGTGTGTCTTTTTACATTTGTTTATTCATTTCAGCCTTTAAGAGTAAGGATAAGGATTACTGATACGACTTTGGGGTAATAAGGGATGTTATTTTGATACATCTTGAATCAAAAACAATTTCAATTATCGACGAATCGTTAATTTATTATATATATAACTTTCATTATAATTGAATATATTTTTGGTCCGTAAAAATTATTGAATTTTTTTATCTCTTATTTTTTCTACCTGAAATTAGTCCTTAATTAATCACATGTTTTTTAAATTAATCCGTACCGTGTAACTTTCATTATTATATTTTAATGAACATTTCAACAAACATGTATCGTATAAGTGGTAAGATTCCATATTTAATTCGCATTTTTATATAAGCACATCTCACATGACCGAAAAATCTCCATTTAAAGAAACCCTGATCCTTCTGTAAGGTGACGAAAACATACCAAAAGATCCTCTGTATTTCCTCTATTCTAAGATATATAAATAAACCTTTTTAGTATTTCCAAGTTAGTGGTTTTTAAAAAATTTCTCAACCCCCAAACCCCAAATGGAAAAAAAAATCTGTATTTCTATCTAAGCGTATGGAATGCCATGATCACAATCAATGCCTGCCTTCCGCATTAAAGGCTAAAACCTCCTCCATAAGGTAAGTGAACAGCAATTGCTTACTGCAATATTGTTGTCCTTTCTGCGCTCCACAATAATGATCAGATGCCTGCCCATTTCTCAGTTTTCAGGAACATCAACCCGATATGGCATGTAATTTTATGTATATATGTATTCATATGCATGGTCCCCAATGACGTCAACATGTTTCAAAGATATGTGTCACATAGTTATAAACTCATCACATCATTCATCTTCAACATCATGTGCTTCCTACGATAGATCCTCCTCCTCATCTTACACAAAAACATTTGCTGATTTTTTTTCAAGCAAATGCTAATCACAAGACAAGAAGCATGGACACAATTAGAAAATTATTGTACTAGTGTTAAACACGTACATACAAAGATATGTAATTAATTAATAATAATTGTAGTGAATAACTAAAGTAAGATAATATATTTTAAATAATTTTAGTATATTATGATTTGTTTACATAATGTTAAATATTTAAATTTTTATGTTTGAGATATTTTATTTTGTAACTGAAGTGTATTAATTTTTAATCATTTACATAACATCCTAATTATGTCATGTTTTATTTTATTTTTGAAGTGGGGCATGTTATCGCATCCATATTGTGCCAGTTTGTATCTGATGATTTGTTCGTATTTATTAGATGACAATTAAGTTAATTGGGATTTACTTATTGGACTTCATTTTCAGAAGGACAACACACAGAAATTACAACAGCATGAAGTGGCAGAGGTGGTGTCTTTTGAGCATTTTCCAGCAGAGAGTTCTCCAGATAATGAAGAGAGCATCACATCAACGCCAGTGACTGAAGATAGAAGTCGTGCCATTGCCGTTGCAGCAGCAACTGCCGCAGCTGCTGAAGCTGCTGTGGTGGCTGCTCAAGCAGCTGCTAGAGTTGTGAGATTGGCAGGGTATGGAAGCCACTCCAAGGAAGAAAGAGCAGCAACACTGATACAATCACACTACAGAGGCTACCTAGTAAGGCATTGTTATGAGTCTAAATTGAATGCTATGACTATTAATTGGTAATTTAAATTGGTATTGGGTGATGAAAATGTTCAGGCTCGACGTGCACTGCGAGCATTGAAGGGATTAGTGAGGCTGCAAGCACTGGTGAGGGGACATAATGTGAGGAAGCAAGCGCAGATGACAATGCGGTGTATGCAAGCATTAGTGAGAGTGCAAGCACGCGTAAGAGCTCGCAGACTGCAATTGACTCGGGAGGATGAGGAAACAGAGTATGAGCAAAGAGACAATGTGAAGAAACAAGAACCTACTAAGCCCATGAGCCCCATCAGAAGGTTTGACAATAATGGTTGGGACAATAGGCGCCAAAGTAGCCAGAAAATTAAGGAAAACGATTTGAGGAAGCACGAAGCTGCCCTGAAGAGGGAGAGAGCTCTTGCATACGCCTTCAACTATCAGCAGGTTTGTTGTTTCATGTCTCTATATTTTATGCTTCACAAAACACAATGCTTTATATTTTATTAATTTTTAATTTATTTATTAAATACATTTTTACTGATTTTACTTTCTATTTTATGTATTCACTATTCTTATTTTTCATTATCGCGGTTACACAAATAATCAACATGCAATATTTTTTTGTTAATCATTTCATCGTCAATAATTAATAGATACTATAAATATAGATTATGAAAAAAATAAACACTAATTTTTTAAGAAAAAATAAAAATTTAAACTAAAATATAAATATTAATTTTTAGTCATATCTGCATTCATTGTGTCGATATTGTTTGATTATTACAATAAATTTACCTTAATACATTAAATCGAAATATATTGGATAAAATATCTCAATCCTGTAATCTTTTATAAATAAAAAAATTAAGTTAATTTATGTTTAAGGAATTTTTATTTTTAGATTAATTATATATTTTTTATAATTTTAAATGTTTTTATACTTATCTTAAATCTTATTTAAATTAATTATGCATATTTATTTTATATTTATATATTTTAAAATGTTTATCTTTAAATTATGATTTATTATATTATACCTGAATTAAAATAGCGGTAACACACCATACATTCATTAATTTTATAAAAACCACATAAGTATATATGATGTAAAACAAATTAATTGTATTTTGGGTGAGAGGTAGTAAACTCATGTTGTAGATAATTTAAATTTTATAAATTAATTTGATAAATATTAAACACATTTATTAAAATTTTAAAATAATTTTTTTATTAAAATGTGTTCTTAATATACTTTTATTTTGATTTTCAATCTAATACAATATAACTTTTAATAAAAAATTTCATATATCTTAAGTTTTAATTTATTTAAAATTAAGGTTGATGTAAACGGATTTGTATTTAAAACCAAAAGTTTATATACATTTTTCCTTTTTTTTATCAGGCTTGCTAGTTGAAGAAAATTTAATTTTGATTCAAAATAACCAAATAATACTTTTTCAAACAAAATCTCGTTGAGCATTGCCCCTTCCATATATATATATATATATGTATATATATATATATATATATATATATATATATTACTGTTTTATTGAGCAAATAGTAAATAAATTATTTTATTTATTTATTAGCTTGAAAGTATAGAAAATATTTAACAGTTTCTTCATAAAGTAATTAAAAAGATTTGTAGACATAAAAAATAAAAAAATTATAATTAATTTTCTCTAAAATAAATTAAGCGAAATGCAAACAAAACACTTTGATATACTATTTATAATTGATCAACAATTTAAAACATAAAAACACATATTTTATAAACTAATCACTTTAAATTGATCGGTTTTGTATATTAAATAATATGTTAAAAAAAGTGTTATAATAGCATTTGCAATAAATTAATCCACGCAAAGATTTGTTCAATGCCGGCATATAAACAAACAACAACACATGTGTGGCTCTAATGCAGCCAAAAGTGGAAAAAAATGTAAACATGTGTTCATTTCATTTTGAACAAATTTGTTTCATTCTATTTTATCATTTCTGAACTGTTTTATTTACAACAACAGCAGAAGCAATATTTGCAAGGAGACTCGAACGGTGATGATGATGCTGGAACCCATTACCCCAATGCGCGTGAAAAAGCCCAATGGGGTTGGAACTGGTTGGAGCGTTGGATGTCATCCCAACCAAATAATGTCAAGCACTTAGGGCCACGTGAGACCTCGTATATGACACTGGCTTCTACAACATCAACTACCACAGATAACATGTCTGAGAAGACTGTAGAAATGGACATGGTTGCAACTCCAGGCCCAAGCAACGTCAAAAACATCAGCCCCATGAACCATGATTTTATTGATTCAAGCCCAGTTTCCAGTAGACACTATCAGAGACCACTTAGCCCAAATAGACCAAGCTATATGGCCCCAACCCAGTCTGCAAAAGCCAAGGTTCGGGGCCAAGGCCCAACTAAGCCACGGCTTTCAACTGGGCCTCAGTGGAACTTCTCAACTAAGGGAGCCTCCACATGTGATTCGTCAAGCTCAGGTGGAGGAATTGCCGCCTACCAATTTCCAAGGAGCCCAAGCCCAAAAATCAATGGTATTCGTTCACAGTCTAGACGGATTGTGGGTAGCAGTCCAGATTACATTGAAGATTGGGCCCTTCCTCTTGGAGCCCATGGTTGGACATAGTTTGATTAATTTGCCCTTTCCTAAAACAAGGTTAAAATCTAAACATGATAATTATTATAAGTGAGTGTATCGTTTGTGTGCGATTGATCATATGGCATGAATTAGTATTTATGGACAATTCAATAATGTAGTTGATGTCATGAATAACAATTTTGAGATTGCAATATCTAGTGAGCATAATATCATGATTTGATGTTAACAAATTATATTAAGAATATTATTGTTTAGTAGGATAAAACTTTATTGTAATAGTATTACTACCACTTCATTCATTACATTTTTTTAGTGCATAATTTTAAGCTCTTTAAAACCTACTTGAATTTGACCAGACATAAATACTTTAGGGTAATTTTATTGTCAAATAAAAAAAGAGTGTGATTCTAAGATCAATTTAGGAAACAGAATCAATTTTCCTTAACGACTCCAGTCTAATAGAATATAGTGCAGGATAAAAATGAAGAAAGAAATAAATGGAGCAGTATAAGAAAGAGAAGAAAGAAAGTTTTAAAAACAAAAATAAATTCGGCAAGAAATAAATATATCGAAATATGAAAAAGACGAATCGGTGAAAAGATGTAAACGTTTGATCCCTTATTAGCACACAGTTGTGGCTGCGAACATGTTTTTGCTATAAAGGGGATTGCAAAGAAGTGGAATTCAAAACATATCTGACTTGAATTCAAAAATACATATTTATAAGTGAATACAAAAAGTACTAATATCTCAAAAACATACACATCACCTCTAATAAGTAACTCTCTAATGTCTAATGTTGATTAGTTAAATTAGAGGTGAAAACACAGGATACCTAACCCAATTCAATCACTTTAGTTTGGGTTTAATCAAATTAGGCCGAAAAAGATCGTTTCAAAATAATCATTACTTTTAAAACTTCTATTGAAACTGCCACATTTAATCTTTTTGGGGGTTGCAACCCTTTTAATTTTTAATTTTTTTTATAAATACTCTTATTAATTTTAAAATTACAATTTTAAAGTTAATAAAATCATATGACACTATTTTCCATGCAATTGAATAAATTTCGTTAAGGCAGCCGTTGTCATTATTTATAATCCTTAAAGTTAAGATAATGGTATATAGGTCGATAAAAAATTCTTTTGTTAATTTTTTTGATTTAGGTTGATTTAATTTGTGTAGGATTTCCTTTTAAAAACCTTTTTTCTAATTATACACGAAATCAAAAAGTTTTGGAAATAAAGTTCTGAAACTTTAATTATGAAAATTTTGTTAATTATACTTCCAGAATTAAATTTGAAGCTTGTAAATTATACTTTTAAAACTTAATTCTGAAAATCTCCGTAGTTAAATATATATATATATATATATATATATATCATACAATATTATAGTTGCAATAGACAAATTAGTAAATGACGTAAAAAATGTGATGAAACGGACCTGCGAATTCTGGTGATTCATAACAATGTAAGAAAAATTTCAATGTAATAATACAATCTTTAAGGTTATCACTGTCAAGTGGTTATAAAAATATTTGATGAGAAACTCATAAAAAAAAATTGTCGATTAGAGTAATGTATTTGTTACCAAATAGGTGATTAAATGTTTTATCATAAAGTTATTAATATATGAATTTGTATATCTTATATTTATTTATTTTATAGATTATTTTTACTTGGAGCGATATTTTGAAATGATCTTATAAATTGAGATAAAAAATGAATTTGTTGTTGTTATTAGTAGGTCAAACATAAGAAGTATCAAGAGAACATTAATATTAAGTTGAGATTAGTGAGGTTTAGTCAACTTGAGAGGATGATTTAACCATGCAAATGTGAAATGAATGGCTTGTTAACAGACAGTGGATTGAATATTTTGCGGCTTGATTTAATTGTTGTTGTTATTATTATTATTATTATTATTTTAGTTTTATGTTTATAGTTTGACTTATTTAACTTTTGTATTTGTAATAAAGATTTGGAACATTTACATTGTTGTACTAAATATCTAATTTGGAGTATTATTTGTTTCATAACATTCTTATATTTATATTTTTTTAGAAATATTGCGTTAAAATTTGGTAATGAGATAGGAATGGGTCGTGAGAACATGCAACAAAATAACAAAAGAAAGATCATAGATAATGCTTTAAAGATGAAGATGAGACTTTCTTGATATCTTGATTAAAGTTATGAATTAGGGTCAGTGATGTGACTCTTAACAATTCAAAGTATATACCTTAAGAGCGGTTGAAGCAAAAATGGACCAAAAAATTTTTAGATGTGAAATTAAGGTGAAACTACACATTGAATCTGCCATCAAGAGGTTATTATAAATTTATAATATAGTGTATAATATGCTAAACCAAAATGGACTTAGTTGGCATGATGAGAAAAAAAATAAAGGTGGATAAGGATGATGTGTGAAAAAAATATGTTAATGTTAGTGTTAATTATTTTTTCAATATGTTCAATCCATTTGTTCCATTTTTTCTCTATGATAAAAAATATCTTTATCTTTTATACTTTTCTGCAAAGTTATCCAACTGCAAGGTCATACAGATACGCCATTTCCTTTTCTTGACAAACTTGCTCTTGCTTTTGGAAAATATCGTGCTACTGATAAAGAATCCATACCTCAAGCTGATGTTGTTAAGGAGTTAAATAGAAAAGCAAAAAAACAAAATTATATTGATGATGATAGAATGGGTTTGACCCAACATGACCGTGAGAACTTTCAGCTAAGGAAAAAAAAAAGTAACAAGCATGATTGCTAATAGCATGATAAAATTAGGATACGATTTTGGAAAATTGCTTAAGCTTAGGAAGGATGACTGAAGTCGCAAATTTCTTCAAGGTTGACGAGAATGTGTTTGATGATTCTAGGAACTTCATGGCTGAGAACAAAAAATGGATTTAACTAAAGAAGTGTTGTACTTACTAGCGGGCAAAAATATTACACCTCCATTGTTTACACATGTTTTTGGGACCAAAATGATGTTAAACGATTTGTACATGTGAAATTACTTATCTAATTATTTTCTCTGAAAATTACTTATTTTGGTTTAAGTAAAAGACTTTGTTATCTAACTAAATAATTACATTTTCAGAAATTTTATCATTGTTGTTTAACTTTTTTTGTAGTTTAATGAAACTAGTATATGAGAATGACATTAGAATTTTATATTTATGTTAAATACATTGTTCTTGATGGAAAAAGTTAATAGCTAATAATAAGACTTATATTATAATGTTTTGGCTTTATGATATTAGAATTTATATTTTCTGTTTCAGCTACCTACTGTTCTTGCTAGCTTTAGCATTGTAGCAATTTTTCTGCTTCAGCGACCTACTATCATTGAGTATTAGCATGTTTTTCTTTTGTTTTTTTTTTTACCTTTTTATTCCTTTTATTGATTATTGGCCTCTTCAATGAAGTTGGAGAAGAACCACATGTCAGTACCATGGGATTCAGTTGTCGGGGGAAAACCAAGTAGCAAAACAAGGCTTTTAAAAATTAAGAAAAAAATATGATAGAAATAAGTTCATATTTTAAATAAGCTAAGTGTGAAGTAAGTAGCAATGTTTGCCTTCGATACATATAATTTAGAAAATGAAATAAAGAAAAATAAGTTATAAATGTTAAATTAAATTTTAATTTTAATGAAATAATATTTAATTTTAATAAAAGAGTAATTTTATCATTTATATATAATTTATATTCTATCCCGTTATCATTTGATTAATCCTATCCACATGTTAAGATAACATAATACTATCCAAGTTGTTTATTACATGATATTTACCAAACAAATCCTAAAAATTTTGATTTTTGAATAACTAAATAGAGTCAATCTCTTAAAAGTATTTTAAGAACGTAGCTCATAAATTGGGATATCAAATTAATAAAACATTTATATAATTAGGTTTTACTAAATAATATCATGATAACTAATATATTAGTTATGTGATAATATTTGTTGTCAAATGAGTCTAAAAGCTAGGTTTATATAATAATATCTCTTTTTCCTACCTTTAAAGTGATTGACACATTCCATTACGTCTTTAAGGAAAAATAACATAGTGCGTCAAAAGCGTCAACTTTTGCGTTTTGGTTACGAAAAAGCTTTCGAATGCGTACCAATTTTATCTTCTTCCGTCAATGTATTAAATGAAAGGAAACATAAAGTTTCACTCAGGTGACGTACAACGTATGCAAATGAAACTAAAAGAAAAGAACTTTTAGAAAAAACTATATATAATTAGAGTAAATTATACATTCGTTTATGACATATGCATAAGCTAGAGTGTCTTTTTTATTTTAAAAAGTTATGCTTTATTTTCTTAAAAGATCAATACAAGTTATATTTTATAATGACAAATTAATAGTTAACAATTGATTTTACCATCTTTATGAATTTTGAGACTTTAGAAGACGAAATGAATTAGATGTTTAAAACTTATTTGCATATTCTAATATTCTAAAATTAATATTAGTTTTAAAATTAATGTTAATAGCATTATAAGTTTGCAATATGAAATGAAAAAAGATGTTTCTAGAAGACTCGTTTACAATTATTCAACATTATTAAAATATTAACTTATATTAAAATAAATTAAATTTAACACATTTTCCCTCAATAATGAGAAGTGTAATTTTTCATATTGAAAATCAATATATATATATCAACCTCCACCGTTTCAAAGTTGAATATAATATTACTAAACAACAAAATGAGGAAAAAAAAGTTTGAGGTGGTGGTGGCTCGCTTTTTTATTTTATTTTTCTTGATTATTTCCTTTTGTTTTATTGTCAAATTTTGTGAGTTGGAACCTCATCCTGTAACCTACCATTGCATTTGGATAAACATAAATATCGTGCTGCTTTTTAATATTTAACCAAGCATGCAACATTATTGAAAAAAGTGAGACCTCAAAAAAACTATTAAGAGACAAGTAAATAATTTTATGAGTGTATCTAATTTCCATAATAGTTTAAATTATTTTCTTAACACTTTTTCATTTGTTCAATATTTTAATTTTTTAATTATTGTTATAATAAATTGCTATTCTAATAATTTATCTCTATTAAAATTTTGAATGTTTAGCTCATTATTTATTTAATAACTCACATTTTTTTAATCAATTTTCTCCTATTTTTTTCGTAGGAATGCTAAATTGGAATAAGATCACGATTTAGAAAGAGCAAGAGACTAAAAACATAAAGAAGTAGCCTTAAAAGAGCCCAATTAGAGGCAAGAAACCAATGTAAACCAAAAATAAAATAAAATGGAATTTTAAAAGGAAGAAGACAAAGTGCATTTTTGTGACAAAGCTTTAGCAAAACTTATGACATGGCCATGTTAGTGTAACATTACTGTGTCACTTAATTGCATATGATAAAGATACATTTATGTTATTTAATTTTAATTAGCATGATTTCTTAGTCAAATACATAAAATAATTCATATTTATTATTTTTAGTTAACTTATTAAATTTTTTAATTTTTTATTTAATTCATAGGAGAACTAAACTAATTTATATATTTTTATTTTTATAAGACTAATTGACATAAAAATAAAGTTTAAAGAAATGAAGAAAGTTGAATACAAAAAAATACAAATTTAGAACTAAGTGTTCGAACATCCAGAAGTAGACTAACACTTAGCATATGAAAATCAAGAGTGCTATTAAATTATTGACATTCCAACACTCAAGCTTCTGCAGGACCATATTACACATCTCAATGCCCAACTATGAGCGTCCCAATGCCCTGCACTTGTTAGAACTGTTATGTATTTACTTCTAAGTGTTTAAATGCCAGTACTTCAAAATCTATAAATAGATGTTATGTGAGTTGATTTTTAGATATAGCTCATTTTAATTTTTGAATTTTAATTTAGTTTTACTTAGATTTTTCTTCTTTTTTTTTCATTTTTTTTATTGATCTTTTCTTTCCTAAGAATCTAGAAGACTTCTTTATGTCTTCTCAGATTTTGTATAGAATTTTCTTAATTTTTTTTTTCTTGTTCTTATGTTATTTCTTGTCACACATTCCAAAAATAATAAAAAAAATTATAGAACAATAAATTAAGAAGTGATAGAAGTATAGGTGTTGCGTATTTTGAAACAAATATTTAATGTGTACTAACAAGTTGCCCAAACCTGAACTCTCGTGTTTAACTATTCAAAGCATAACCCTTTTTACTTGGTAACCAAACAAATGCATTCACAAACTTTCAAAGCCAATTATGTTGTTACCAAAATTGCATCCAACTACAAATACTATTTAATCAAACTATCACGTACTGAGACATGAAATTATCTAAATTAAGAAGAGAATAAGGATGCATTCAGAAATGATAAATTCTTTTACTCATTTATAACTTTTGCACAAAAATAGTTGGTAACAAGTTAAGTTTGCAAATAAACTCCACGTATCCCCGTTTTTCTAAAACATGTCACTGATGTTCCAATCAGCTATTATCAAATTTTGACTATTAGTTACTAACTTTGTAGATAAAATAATCACTGTATGACAATATTATCATCCTATGGTAATTCAAATAACACATCGAAAACATCAAATTGAGAGAAACAACAAACAATTACGTGTCTTATTTTCCTAAAACTCTCAATATATTTATTTCTATTTTATTTCAAACAAGTTAATTAGTTGCATGTGGGTTTTCAGTTTTCAAAATTCATTTATATTATCAAAAATTATGTTTCTTCTTTCTCAACAGGTTTTTTGTTTGTTAAAAATTACAATTAAGTGTACTAATAATATTTATTTTGTACTTTGTATTTTTCATTTCTTAATCAATATATTGAGGCCATTTATTAACGTAATTCTCCCAAAATCAAAATAATAGTTGCATGTGATATTTGTTTCGTAAACTTCTTGGAAACTTGCCTGTAAGCTGTTAGTATCACTTTGATATATTATAACCATTTTCTTCTTTGAATGCTTTATATATGTGAGCTTTTATAGTGTATACAACGACTATTCCATCACTACATTAAAACTTTTGAAAAGCACAAATCACCAAGATAAGCTTTATCTTTTTAAAGTAAATATTTTTCATACATATAATTATAAATCAAATTCTGATCAATAAGCATAAATAATATGGTTATCAAAACAGAGGAATGCTAGTAATAATTTTTTAAATTTTTTTAACTATTAATTAAAATTTAAAAAATTATGTAATATTTCTTTTTCATACTTTTATAATCAATAAATTTTAGTCAATAACTAAAAGTGTATTAAGTAATATATTACTAACATTTCTTGGTCAAATATCGTTATGTTATATTTGAGTTGATGGAAAGAAATAAAATGATATTGAATATCGTTATTTACATTAGGATAGAATCTAATGAATTTGATAAATTGTATTTTATTTCATCTAAAGGTTTTATTCTTAATGATAATTTTTTTTATTGAAAATTATAATAATTTTAATTTTTTAACCATCATATATCTAAAAGATGGTGGTTAATATTTAGCTTCATTACAGAAACGGGTTAAAATTAAATAGAATCAATTAAGTATTCACTAATCTCATTATCATTCGGTTAAATTTTTACACACTAAAACGAAAACTTTATATACTCTAATTATGTACAAAATATAAAAAACAAACACACACACATACATATATGTATATATATATATATATATATATATTCCATTTTCTTATATTTTATTTCACAAATATCATATATCTAATTAGAAAATTTTCGTTAAAAGTACATATCTAAACATAAAGTTGGTATATTAGAAAATTGTAAATGTTTTTTTACAGAAAATTCTTGTTCAATAATGTTACATATATGTCACTTATATTTCTATTATATTTTTAATATTGTAATAACAAAGCTTTAAATAGGGTTTGGGATTTTATTTGAATCCTTAGAAGGAGATAAACATGAATCTCATGAAAATAAATAAAGATTTCCCAGAAAAAAGTAGTTCTTTAATAAAGATAACTTGTAATGGCGTAAGAAAATTTAAAAGCATGGAATTTATAGATAAGAAGTTCTCCCGTTCAATACTCTAAAATGCGCAATGACCGTTGATTGTCGTTATCCAAATAGTCAAGGTGGGACCCTAACGAGGGCTATTATGTCATTTCCAGTGCGCAAGCAAGAAAATGAAAAACGCGTATCTTCTCGTGAAGAAGAAGCGCCAAAGGAGCCTCCTCTTCTTCGTCACAATATAAGTATAAATCACCCTCATTTCTTCCTCTCTCTCTCTCTCTCTCTCTCTCTAAACCAAATTAACAGACACTTAAATGTTATTGACTCATTCCTCACTCTTACACACACTTCACTGCAGCCAAACTCGATCATCACAATCAAGAATCATGGGGTCAGAGAAGAAGAAGCTCCACCCACACCAACCCAAAACCCCGCTCAAGCTCTCTCTACTAACGCTGTCACGCCCGAACGTGCCGCCGGAGTTGCCCACGCCGCCGCCGCGGACGGCCGCTTCGGTTCCGTTTCAATGGGAGGAAGCACCGGGGAAGCCTAGGCCCTGCCACACCCGATCCGAGCCCAAAGGGAGTGATGGCGTGGCAAGAACCTTGGAACTGCCTCCGAGGTTGGTGTTGTTGGAGACCAAGGTTTCTTCCCCAACGACGGTGTTGGATGGGCCTTACGTTGGACGTGCCATGTCTTTTACGTCGTCGTATAGGTCCTCCAAGGACACGTGGAACGCCAATTTTGCGTCTAGCAGGTGGAGCGGCTCCAAGAACCCTGAGGGTAGTTTTGACTTTTCAAATTGGTCTGTAGAGGGTACCAGGAAGGTGAAGATCACAAGGGTTAGGAGAAGAGGAAGCTTCTTCAGTCTCTCTCACGGAAGTTCACACTTGTTGGTATGTCTCAACTCTTTCCTATCTCAATGTCTCAGCATTTCTTTGAACTTACGGGCTTAGATATATATATATATATATATATATATATATATATATATATATATATATATATATACATATTATCTTTTTAATTAAAATTAGATTTTTATCTTGATAAAATATTGATATTTAAGGTAGTGAAAGATTATTTTTAGAGTCATTCTTATTTAAATTTTGAAGGGCATATAAGTTTTGTCCAAATAAAACTAATTAACAAAACTTGGTTTTTCTTTTATATTTATGTGAAATTAGGTGTGTTTAATTATCTTTTCAAAATGCCAGGAAGTTGTATACTTAATTTTCCTCAGCTATAGGCCTTTTTGCGATGTTTTTGGCAATTCAGATAACAAATCATGCAATTGTGTGTGTGTTGGTGTTATATGATAATCGAATGAGTGATGAAGAACTGGAGACAAATAATTAATTGTGTTGGATTCAGTACGTAATTCCATCATTTTCATATCATGGGGGCCGGTAGTGCAAGGATAAAATGATTATTGTAATGAACATGTAAAAAAGAAATTGATAAATAATAAATATAGTATTTTAGGTTATTAATACGTTAAATTTTATGATATTACCTTGTTTTTAATAAAATTTTATTATATATTCTTAATCAGATACATATTAAAATAACTGATGATAAAAATATTTTTAAAATAGAAAGTTTCGCAAATAATTTATATTTTCTAGTCTCCCAAATACAAATTATCTTCACTTTAATTTTTCCTTATATATGTCTTTTTTGATTTTCTGGTCTCGTGCTACAAGAAGTAGCTGGTGATGTTTTCTTTATCACGCAAATACTTATCAAAGAAAGTATGAACACTGTTTAAAGGAATTCAGAAGGCCATGGTGCATGGTTGATGTTTGGCCACTCATGCGTTCATGTATATATTTACCATCGACCAAATAATATTGGTCTTGAATTAAGCGACTAAATTGACAAAAAACGGTCTTTTTCATTTTGATGGTCTGAAAAGTTGGTGAAACACGTACCCAAAGAGCATTAACATTTACTAGAACATATAGCAAAGGAGCGTACTGCTTTTGCTGTGACTTTGAGTGTTTGTTGCGTGTTCGTCTCATCATTTATTTGGTTAGGTTGTTATCTTAATATCTTATTATGAAGTAATTTTATGACTTCAGGCAAGCATTTATGAAGGCTTTAAGCAAGTGGTCCCATGGAAGCGCAGGCAAGAAAAGCAGAGCAAATGGGCACCCAAATTTCACACCGTTTGATCTTTAACCTATTTGTACAGGAGCAGGAATATAGATTCTAGGTCACCATCGATCCATGCCTTCATAAGAAAGAAACTTGTTCTACACAACTTAAGTAATTAAGTATTAATTTCTTAGTTTAAATTATGACATCGTATGATAAATGTAATAATTTCAAAAGGTGCCAAAATCACTTACAGTGATCGTCTGTGTCCCAACTTTATTGGCAGTTTAATTGTCCTCGACAATGGTACCAAAGATAGTCACCATTAATATTTACAAGTATATATATTGAACAAATATAATTTTGTCTCAATATATTTTTAAATTTATCGTACAAAAGTGTGATTGTTTTTTGTTTGGAGGGTACAGGCCATACACTAATGGCATTCCTTGTACTCTCGTACTTTTCGCAAACTAGCTTCCTCAACTTTTTTGTCCTTACTTTTAATGGCTTTATATTAACTTTTGTTTGAAAGTAAAACTATAAACGCACGTTTCAAGAGAGTTATTTGGGAATGTGACGTTGAATCATAATTTTCTTTCCACTTCAATTAAGAGTGTCATTTGGGGATGTGATGGTAGCAAGAGTTGGTCCAGATGGGTTCAATTTCAAATACATCAAAGCGTTTTGGGCCATTCTTGAAGGTTTTATTTATAGAATGCTCGATGAGTTTTACGAGAACAGTTCATTCACTAAGCACAACAATTTTTTATTTATTGCTTTAATTTTCAAAGGAGATTTTTGCAAAAGCCAGAAGATAACAAATTTAGCGATTCGGATAGAGGCGGACCTTAACGACTGACTTAATACCAAGTTTAACGATTGATTTAAATTTCTAGATAAAAATATTGAGAAATTATGTAAAATAATAAATATGAATAATTTTTTTGTTTTTTATTTTAATCTCTATTTTTTAAAATACGAATCTCCTTTATGAAAGAACTATTGAGGGACTACAGAAAACTCAACACTTTTTGTTCAACTTAAGAACTCAAAATAAAATAAATCTTAACTTAAAAGAGTGACGTATTTTAGAGATTAAAAGCCAAAATATTTAAAGCCAAAATACATCATCAACGCTATAAATTATGCTCATTAAAATAAAGTTAGTAATTTGTATTTATTAAATAGTATGAAATTTTATTGTTACATATAAGAGTTTAATTTTGATGTACCGTTATTGTAAAATTTTCCATCTTAATTTTTTTTCAAATATTAATAAAATTTCACTATACTTTTTACTCATAATTATTTAAAATTATTTTATATAATAAAATTATTATAAACTCCTCAAACTCAAATATTAGGAAAAACAAATAATTTGAGAATTTTAAGTAGAATAAAATCATTAAATTTAGACGATTTAAAAATTAAATAAACTTAATTAGCTATGAAAATAAGTAAACCAAAATCACAAATAGGCCAAAAAAATAAAATAAAAAATGAAATTAAAGCAATTCGAAAATTCCAACTAAAATAAAGAAATAATAAGCTTGATGTATTTGCAAGTTGCTAGTGTGACCAAGTTATTCATGGCATGGGACCCCTTCAGCTTTATTTAGAATGTCATGGGACTGGGCATATTCCACCCGAATATTTGCTTGGTTTCCTTACTTTCCTAGCTGCCAAGGTATATTACTGGGCATTACGCAGATTCTTTGCGTCTTGCTCCAATTCTTGTCACTGTGAACTTGCTTTTCCCCCATGCCCAGACGATCCTCATCCGTTGTCTCAGAAACCAAACTAAACCAGGTACGCTTTCTCTCACCCTTCTCCTTCTCCATCAATAAAACCTTGTTATCCACGTTCCAAGTTTTTTCTCTGTGATGCAAATTCCGACTTGATATGTCTGGTATGGCAGGAAATTCTTCTTGTTTTCTTTTTCCTTTAGAGTTGTTCTGATTCCAAAGTAGGAGTAGCAGCGTTTTTTTTCCCATACAAGTTAGAAAACATCTGCATAATAATACCATTTATTTGTTCTTTCTCATCCATTTTCAGCACATATATAAGTTTAGGAAAATAAGTAAACCAAAATCACAAATAGACTAAACTCCGGCCCTAGATGTCATAAAATGATTCTCTGTTGATGTGGATTATGGATTGTTTTGCGTCGTCTCCCATAGCGGTAGCTTCTGTGCCATTTAATGTATGCTATTTCTTTCATGCTTGAGTTTGACATTCCAATCTAAAACTTGTTAGACTAGTCCCAAATCTAATATCAGGCAGAATATTAGTGACCAAGATGCGTCTGCCATACGCATCTTTTTAATTTTTTTATTGATTAAAATTTATTAAAAATTACAAAATTATGAGTGAAAATCGTTAAATTAGAAGTGAAATCTACACATTTTATTTTTTTGATAAATTTCAACCAACAATAAAAATTGTATTGAAAAGAGTGATAAAAAATATATATTTTTAACATTTCTCTAGTTTAAAATTACAAGTGAAACATGTTAAATCAGAAGTGAAACTCAAACAATTTTTTTATTATCAATAAATTTAAGCCAATACTAAAAAAGTATACTAAAAAAATATATTTTTAACATTTCTCTAATTTTATATATTGCTAGGCAAATTTTTCTGTTGCTTCGTTATATGAATCCAAGACTATCACGCATTAGTAAAGTTCACATAAAATAACACATAACATAAGCTGTGTTGAAAAGGAATAACGAACATTTTCAGTGCGAACTATTTGGGACATGCAGTCTCAAGAGCCCTGCATCCCCAAATTCCATTGTCCAACCCCCAGCGTCTCTCCCCCTCCCATTAAAATTAAGAGAGAAAAAAAAAGTGTTATATATTTTGAATTATTGAACTTTGAATGTGAACAAGAATTAGAAAACTCTCTAATTCGTTTAAATCATCTGCTGATATAGACATGCATGCGGAATCGTGTTAAACGTTTTTGGTCTGATATTTTTTATTTCCAAATATTTATCAAACATGGTGTACAGAAGTGTGATATGGAGCAGAATTTCAGAGTTGGATTCTGATCAAACATAGCATTATAGTGTACAAGCGGGAAAGTGGATCATCCAACCTCTCCTGTCTCTTCGGCTTTATTGACTATACAGAGCATACAAAATTCATCTTGTCAATAAAGGGATATTTTAGTGTCATGCCTCATAACACAAATCAAGGTAGCGAAAAGAATCCTCTTCCACTTTTTGTCCGTTGGAGAGAAACCCTGATTCGTTCCCACCACAAAAAAAGAGTCATCATTGCCGTATACATGAGCCTCAGCGCTTGCTGAACTCGTTCTGCAATCTCTTACTTTCAGTGTTTTACCCAAATATATATTATCCACCTGCCAATTAGATGCAGCAATATAACGTTTTATAAAATGAAAATAAGTAGTCAAACCAATTATTATGATGTAGGAAAGGAAAAGATAGCTACCTATTAAGAAAAAGGGTTATTGACTTCCAATAAGCGAGGGGGAACCTCCTAGTCGAACTGGTTTTAAGTTTCTTAGAAGCTTTCTTGCATACTCAAACGCTAATACAAGGAGACCAATGAAGTATAGTAGGCAGAGATGTAGTTTTTCTAATACGTAGCACTTAAAGGAGACGTTACTTCCAGCCTGAGTGTTTGCTCGGATTAACACCCTTTTCTCTTTCCACCCTGCACAAGACCAGTAGATCTTATTAGAAACAATGTGCACACCCAAGCACGCTAATAATGACTTTTTGGAATAACGTATCTTTTAGTTTCCAATATCATCCAGATAGATTATTGCAACTTCAGGCCATAAGCTTAGATTCCATAGGTATTCATGAGATAACTGGTAACTTTGGACCCACCGGTTAGAATTAATTAATATATGTATCATCTTTCAAATTAGGAAGCATGCGATCCAGACCATGAGTTTCAGCTCATAGGGAGTGACAGACCCAGAAATTTTGGGCAGTGACCAGGTGGGGGCAAACCTTTTGGTCATGTGCCTGGTATCTTTTTCGGTATTTTCAAGCTGTGATATTTCTAGTGTGTTTTTCATGGAAAGCAATGTTAATTTGATTTATCATTTTGTTTTGGTGTTATGAGAGCTAGTTCATCTCATAGGAATTCACCTGTAAATTGATCTGGGGCTGGGTATGCACTGATGAAACATGGCTCTGAGTTGTGTCTGTAAGGATGGGCTGTTGGGTGATAATTAAATCATCTAACCATGTAGGAAATCAACTAAAAGTTTAACACTCCGTGAATGAAATTGGTTTTTGCGACTGAGAGGAGAGTTGGGTGAAGTCCAAAAGAGAAGAATTGGCTGTGGTTTGTTAAAATTAAAATTTACCCAGTGAACCTTGTATTGAAGCAGACCTTCTTAGGCCGTGGGGTAAAAAATGGAAAATCGTGTATGAAAGTAGTAAATTTGAGTGGGGACCCTTGCCCTAACCCACCAACGTGGGTCTGTCCCTGCTTGGAGCTTAGACATTATTACCATACATGCCGACAACCCACCAAGCTACAGAAAACAGTCATGGCATGAGTTGTGTGAGCTCATGCTAAGTTGCAAAGTGCAAGAGAAACTATAACCTTCAACGTTGAATACTCACAAGACTGTTTTTTTGGCAAATTAGTCCAATCATGTGGGCTCATCTTCACTTCTGATGCCTTGATCAAGTCAAACAATGCTTGATTAACCTGAATTGGTAAATTTTAAGTCTAAGTCTAATGCAACTTGAGAGGAAAAGTACAACATGTAAATTGCCAACATGGTATATATTACATGCAAATTATACCTCTTCAGGCCGCTCGTGACTTACTAAATGACCTCCATGTAGATCTACCATTCTAGCCACTGGATGAAGTCTCTCAGCAAGTCTCCTTGCATAATATATCTGAGCAATTATATCATGCCTGAATGAGGAGGAAATGTCTCAATCTCTAACTCAAGGTTAAATAAAAATATTAAATGCATAAATTATGTATCTCTATGCAGTGTTGTCATGCATAATTTGCTTTATGTGCATGACAGATTCAGGGTCAAGTTCCATTTGTATTTTGAAGAAGACTTTTCTATTAAGCAGCATAACAATAAATGTCTGCCAAACACTTTACACACCTGCCATGGATGACTGAAACAAGAAAACCTGAAGATTTGATCACCTCAATCTCTGTTTGAGTCATTTTATGTGTCCAACATGCATTTAGTTGGCCATCAAAACCATAATTGGATTGCATCCCTGTTGTTGATATACCTTTAACATATTGCTGAAAGAGACAGTGGCTTGAATTAGGAAAATAAGTTAAAAATTTTCAAATACTGATCATGAACAGCATGATGATTAGCGTTGATTGCTATAAGGTGGTTGGGAGTTGAGAGGGAAATGAAAGCAAAGAGAGTAATCAAATGGTGACTTTTCTTCTCCTTATTTGGATGTTCAAACTGAACAAGGTAAAGGAAATGAAGGGGTAATCATTAAAGCCAATGATTCATTATAATACATATTTGTAAAGTTAACTGTAATTAATGGATACCAAAATTAAATTTCTATTCAAAACTAATATTTAGGCAGAAAAAAAAAACTAGACTTCCATCTTAGTGATGCAAGGGTTTCGTGAGTGGAGTTACTCGGGGATGTATTCCTTAACAGAATACATTGTATGGGGTTACTGTTCAATATACTGTCTTGAAATCATAATGAGCGGATAAAATATTAATTGGAATTTGGTTGGCTTGTATCATCATTAATGGTTTATATTGAACTCAACTCAATATTAAGATTGATTAATTGAAGAAGCCTTAATGATATTTATTTAATTTTAGTCAATTTACTATATAGATATAGCTAGGTTTGAAATTATTAATTTCTCCTCCAAAATTCTCCAAATTGAGGAAAATCAGAAAGGTGAATGTCAGAGGATTTTGGATGGTTAATTGAAAGTTCTCATTAGTCATTCCCCTTTCCTTCTAACAAAAGCCTCCCGACTTTATTCCCTATCCAAGCATATACCCTTGTGCACAGCAAAAATAATCTTGAGACTTGTTTAGCCTTGCTGTTAATCAAGGAATTTTCAGTGAAACATAGCAAACATTAAAGCTTTTGATTGAGAGTTTGAAAAGAGAGGGAAGGAAAGGGTTTGAAGGGTAACGGACGAGAAGGGAAAGGAGGAAGAATGAGAGTTAATACAAAACCTTCCAATTTAGGGAAACTTAAAAAACATAGGATTAGGAGGGTTTATAAACCCTCCCCCTTTCATCTAAAAATTCCCAAACAAAGATAACCATTACATAAGCCCTCTCCTTACTCTCAAAAACCAATTCTCAAACAAAGCCTAAAAGACAGGTTTTGAAAGGAAAATTTCTGATGTGTATATGCATTTTTAGTCATGGTGGTGTATCTTTATAGACTATTTAATTACAGGGACCTAGCTGCAACCATCTGCTTAAGTTCCAGCATCAGGTATATTGCTATTTAACTAAAGAGACAAACACACTGTTACAGCACATAAGGGGCCATTTGATTTGAGAAAATGATTTTTGTTTTCACTTTTAAATACAAATTTGTCACCTTGTTTTCATTTTTTATTCATGTTTTCCAAGTTTGCATAAGAAACAATGAAAACAAAAAAATTGTTGCTTTCACTTTTCATGCATAAAGTTTTGAAAACAGGAAACAAAATGAAAATAATGTGCAATTTTTGTATCTAAATATGAAAACAGAAAATAAAAATAGAAAATATTTACTTAAACCAAACAGCTCCTTAGTTAAGATAAGCTTTTTCAATTAATTTTACCTGATATAAGATGGATCTCCTCTTATCGGCTCCAACGTATTCCTCAAGATATTCCTGAATGTCATATATAAAACTTATCTATAAGATTCATCTTTAGGACAAAATGAACACAGATTTCTAGCTATTAGTAACTGTAGATTAAAGTTGTTACAAGAAATAGACAACCATCAGCTTAATGTTAATATTCATGACAAGAGCAAGACTCTTGACTAGAGTACATCCTAAGTGATTCAATTTTTTAAATCACCACACACACTTGCCATAACTGGGGAAATAGTTGGGAGAGAGGTTAGGAATACGACTTGTTTATTTGTTAAAGAACAAAACCAAGAAAGTTTAATTACTTGTGAGTAGTGGGTGTCCAAGTCAACAGCAGCCCTTTCTTCAGCAGTCTTTGCTTTCAAGAAACGGTAAGCAACAGAGAATGTTTGTCGGTCGAACTGCAAAACATAGAACAAGTGAACCACCTTGTAAGTGTTTGAGGTACCATGTCCAAGTTCATGATACCTTAAACTTGACATGAGGGCCGCAAGCATGGATCAGACATTTTATATCTCACTGCAAATACATTTTCTGTTTACTTATATATTAAGCATGTGAACGATTATAAGATTGTACACAGCAATATTTTTTATGGCTACTATCATAAGGCTGCATCTTGAGCCAGAGAATTACCATTTCCTTTTCTAACAGCTGAGGCATCTTTTTCTTTAATTCCTATTTTATCAGTGTCAACGACAAGGAAATTTATTATAGTTGATCAACTTTTTTCTTTCGACTGTCAAAGATGACTAGAGATACACAGTAAAATATTAAAGATACAATCAACAATAGGTACAACCAGAGATTAGGGGATTTTTTCCAACATATCCCAACCATATTATTATTCTGATACAGCAGTTCAATTTGCAATATACTGCCAATTTTTCCCGAAATTCATTCCTAATTCTTAGTCATCTAAATCCTAAAAACACTAAAAGAGGAATCCCTCTCAACAACACCTTCAAGAAAAATAGCTTCCACTACCATTGGAGGTTTCCCAAACAATGATAAGGACAGATGATTAAAAGATTTACTAGTTGCCACTCCATTACCCAAATTTACTCATACGTAGTTGATGGACAACATATGATCATGAGATAAGCGTTTTTGGAAGTTTGGTCAACTTACCAGGTTCTGAGACGTGACACGCTTTCTAACCTTATTACCCAACAAACTTTACCCATAAACTAGTATCTAAAAGCGGCAAGGTTGCATCGGTTCCAAACTCAGCATAATTCAAACAATTTAGCAACTAAAATCTATAGCAACAACAAAATTCTATCCAATATACCACAAGCATAAAAATATAGTTTTGAAAATAGGTCCTCACCGCAACCACAATTGTAGAATTCCAAAAGTTATACACAATACAATATAATACCTTGGGAAAACATTGAAAACCTCCACCCGTAACATTGAGCAACGCCAAGGAGAGGACTCTATCAGGAACCATTGCCGCAACTTTACAAGCTATCATAGCTCCTGTTATTATAGAGAAAAGCAATTGAATTACATTAACCTATAACTTAAATTAAATCTATTCAGTTATAAAAAGAGTCAGCACTCACCCATTGAGTGGGCAAAAACATGGGCTTTTTTCCAACCCAGATGATCTAATAAAGCTATTGCATCCTTTGCCATGATCTTGGTTCTGCATCCACCGCATGTTAAAATTCAGGAACAACAATATCATTTCCAATTTTCCAAAATAAATAAATAAGTAAAGCGGAACAAAAATGAATAAAGGAACTCACGAGTATTCGGATTTTTGGACGGGCACGGAGCTCTGACCCACGCCCCGATTATCAAACACGCAGACTTCGATGCCGCTACCATTGCCGTCGCCGGTCCAAACGTCGTCGTCTTCGTTGGGGACGGTGGTTCCAGTCAAGGCCTTAACTTGTGGGCCCCACCCGTCGTGTGTCGAGGCCAATCCTGATCGTTCGTTAATTCGATCTCCGAAAAATCAGCAAATTTTGGCAAGTAAATAGAATAATATTTTATTTAAAAAAAGATGAGGGAGGCGATGAAGGACCTATGATGAGGAGCACTTTGGTTGGACCGTGACCGTAAGTTCTATAAAATATCTTTACGTCATTGTTGAGGGGCGCGTCGGCGGGAGCGACGGCGTTGAAGGCGGCGACGGAGGATTCGCGGGTTCCGACGTCGCAATACGGCATTGTTTGAGAGAGAGAGAGGGAGAGAAGGTGAGAGAATGGATGGTGTTTCGTTGGTGGGTATATAGTGGAGAGGGACGTTGGGCGGGAACACGTGGCAGATAAGAAGTGGTTGATGATGCCACGTCGGATGGGCGGTTTGGCTTGGTCGACGCGGATTGAGATGGTGTCAAAGTCAAAATGGTGAGTCCAAAATTGTTATCAGACGAAGCACCGCACGGTTATGACCTGTGAAACGTGCTTCCTTTTTAATTACCCGTTAGGTGGCTGTTTAAATTAGTATTGGAAAGTAACAGCGGAAAGGAAAAATGGATATAAATTGTCACTTTTTCAATAATTCTTACTAACCCCAAACGAAATGTTTTTTTATTTAGTGTTTATCAATTATTTTTAATTAATTTTTGTATGTAACATGTGAGTATTCGTTCTTAATTGAAAGTTATTTTTGATAATTTTTTTAAATAGAGTATTTTTAAGAATTAATTTTAACTATAATCATTTTAATTATTATTTTTAGATTAAACACTTCTTTAAAATTTATTATTAATCTCTATATATAATTTGTGAGTATTATTATTTTTTTATTTATGAGTAATAATTTTTAAATGACGATATTTTTAAAAGTTTTTTTTGAATGAGAGAGTTTTCAAGAGTGAGTTTTAATTTTCAATAACTTTTAGAGATTAAATATTATATATATATATATATATAATTTATCAATATTAATTCTTACATGAGTAATTTTTAGAAGTTAGTTTTCATTATATTATTTTAGTATTTTTTAGATTAATCATTTATTTTTTTGATTTATTAATAACTTCTATATATAACTTATGAATCTTAATTTTAGAATTTGAGTGTTTTTTCAAATAAAAGTGTTTTTAGGGGTTATATCTTATTTTCATAATTTTAAGTTTTTTAGATTAAATATTTGTTCTTTTAATTTAATATTAATCTCTATTTATAATTTGTAAGTTTTATTTTTAAATGAGTTTTTTTATGTAATTTTTAATATGTCTTACACTTTAAAAATTTAGTAGATTTTTTTTTGGTAGATTTAGACTTTAGAATCAATTTTGTGAAAGGTAAAATCTATACGTCTTTTGAAAATTATATTTGGCCTCTTTAAGTTTTTTTTTTTTTCAACTCTACAAGTTCAACTAGTGATATTCTATAGGGTGAGATAGAAATATCCTTGACAACAGTTGTATGACAAGCTTCTGGATATGGTAACATGTATACTTATCAATTCAAATTCTTTCTCGACCTTTAAGGAAGTTAGTAACATATACAATTGAGTATTATCTTTAATGCATGTTAATACTTAGTTAAAAGAAAAATTTAAGATTTTTAATTTTCATCAAGAAAGTTCCTCTGTAACTACAGTTCTCATGTACCATATTTGGTCACTTAGACTAGACTTTAAGTATATCTTTGTAAAGTAAATATGCACGTGTTCTATGGGTTTATTTTATTTTTTATTAAATTGATTTGTTTTAAAATAAAAAATATATAATTTAAATATAATTATATTAAAAAAGATCGTCAAATATTTCTTTATATACAACATTTTTTTATAAATCTTATATATTTTTAATTCTTTTTAAGTTTGATGATTTTATAAAACTATTCGTTATTATAAAATTTAATAAAAATAATTATAACAAAAATTTATTAAATATAAAATTTTTTTGCCATATGAATTGTAAAATTTAAATAAAGTATCCTTTAATTTTTGACTTATGCATTTATTTATATTTATTAAACTAAATTTATATAATACATCATTCATTTATAATTATAATAATAATAATTTAAATAAAAATAAAAAATAGAGCAACTAAGTTGAAAACAAAAATAAAAAATGTATTTATTTAACTAATATATAAAATTTTAAAAATATGATTTCAATATAAATATATACAAAACAAACTTTATGTTAATACTTTAAAAAAATTATATTAAACATTCTTTGTTATATAAATAAAATTACTATACAAAAATATTATAAATAAAAACTATTAATAATACAATATATATTTTTAATTTATAAGTTTAGTCGTTGATTAACACAAAAATAATTAAAAGAATATAGAATTGAATTTTTTTAAATGATTAAATTATTTTACATTGTTAGATAATTAAATAGGATTAATATTAATATTATAAATAAAATAGTTTTATTAAATAACTAATTAAGTATAAAAAAATTATGTTATGTGTTTTTTTTTTTCTAAATATCAATATTTTACTAAGAATAAATTTAGAGTACAAGGAGTATTTTATTTTGTTATAATTCTAAAGAAAATTAACAATACATATTAAAGGATTATTAATCCAATTCACATATATAATCAATCTTCCCAAAGGTATGCTATAAACCACTTCCAAGATACATATTCCAAGCATTTGGTCTAAGCGTTGACCCTTCATATAATTGTTTTTCATAACTTTAGATTGACCTCGTAACTTAGAGTTGAAGTCGTGCTTCTTCCTCCTCACCTTGTGAAGTGCATTCTTAACATTGATTCTTTCCAGCACTATTGCCTCAACAACAACATTAGATTGAAGGGAATCTAGTCATTGACTCAATATGTGATTAGCCTCATTTAACCCATGAGAAGGCTCAATAATCAGGCCATCATAGTCGCCAATAAACCCTTTTTATGTCACATCCTTACCTCTTATTGGTCCCTTATCAATAACACTCCGTTGTCATAGTCTTTCATCAGCTCTCATGTCCTACCAATTCTTTTCTTCATAAGTTTCGACCAACAAAGGCTCACCTTGATCAGTTTCTTTTTCAAACACATCCTCACCTAATCGCACAACATCTACATGATTATTGAAAATCAAGTAATTATTGATATTTACTTCATAATATGAATTCTCTCTCATTCACGCATTTACTACTTTTTCTATAGAATTTGATTCCGTACTTTCAAACTCATCTTGATATTGTGCAATGTTTAGCATGGAATCACGTAAATTTTGTCCCTGATAATCTACCTCTTGTTCCCCCTTTTTCGTGCTTTCCACACCATCTTTGGTTATTGTTTTCTTTTATTACGCTTCCTGCTGTTAGATCACAACCTTTTTGTATATTTTTTAAATTTCTTTTCAAACATCTCCTCTCCACTTTCATTTCACACTTCTTTCCGTTGTTTAGGTCTCTCTTTGTTCTTCCTGACCACTACCTCCATAAAAAATCTTTGCCTTACCTCCCTATTCTTGGGCATCCAAGTATTCTCTCTCATTTTCATTCCTTTTTCCTTATAATCTTTTTTATTGTATTGTGAAATATTAACATTCAACTTCATCCTCGAATCCACACGTATTGTAGGTTCTTCTCCAACCTAACTCAACTATCCACCTCCACAAATTGAACAAATCTGAAGGGCTTTCCATATCTGTCTCTTTTGGATAGAATAAACACATCGATTACCTTGTCCCATCGGTAGAACTCCCTCCAAATTTTCTTTATTGTATTTTTTCCTAAGAAGTTGAAAAAACAGAACGTGGTAGACTCTTTCAAGATCCTCCTTAAGTATCCTCCAAAGTTAGCATTTGTTTTCGAGGCCACTGTTATATCGTGACCTATAGTTTACTGGAAAATCATTAGCCCCTCTCCCTCTTTCACCTAATACTTTTCATTTCTCAACAACCTTATAGTCCTATCTTTGTCCCTTACCTCTTCTTTCTCTCACTCTCATACACTCTTTCTCTTTCATAATTTATTTTTTTCTGATTTACATCACAAGCAGTTGCATACACAATTTTAATTATGCCTTATACATTAATTATATAGTCATTTTAATTGACAATTCTTGATGAATAGTTTCAGATAAAACTATTTCTCACAATATTTAATAATATATAAGCAATTGATGCAAAATACTAAAAAGTTTAATTTCAACTTATCTAGCTTAATCTTTTTTAAGTAGGTATTTTTTCTAAAGGTATATTTGGAAGGAAAAAGAGTGTATATTTTTTAATTTTAAATTAAAAAAATTTATATATCATTTATGATAGTAAATACATAATTAATATATTAAATATATGATATTACAATAATTTATATCTTTTATTTTAAAAAATATATATATTTAAAATGCAAAATTTATCTTCTCCACTCTTTTTCTTTCAAAATTTCCTTTTCAAATGATATGAATAGATTCAAGTATTCACTTAAGAAATAAAACTCCTTAAATTTAAAATCTTCAATGGATGTTGATAAGTAACTAACAATTCTCTCACTGATAATAAATTGATTCCTCTGTATAGTTGCAATAATTTAGCTTAAATTTTTTTGACTTTTATACTAATTGCATGTTCAAACACATATATCAATGATAGGTCTAAACTGCTTTTATTTTTATCTTTTTTACATTCTTTCCACGCTTTTCCTTTTTGATAAATTTAATTATGCTAAGGTATAATCTTCTATATATAGGAAAATAATTTTTTATACCCAATGTAAGTCTAAAAACTTTTACACTTAATTTGTACTTTTCATTTAACTTATATCTCATGGTTAGTGTGTTGGATATTTTATAAGTGGACTAACATAAATTAATTCATGCTGTAAAATTTTGTTTAAATCCAGATTAATTAGATGTCAAAATTATTGAATTATATTGTCTAGCCCATATTATAAATAATTATTGTTATTGGGCTTATCAGCGGATATGGTTGTATGGTTATTATTATTGGGTTAAGCCATAGTGGATAGGTTTGACCCATTTGATTATTAACCAGAGAGGCCCCTGCTCCTAACCACTTCAGAGTAACTGTTGTCCCATTGAGATAACTTATGTGAAAGATTTGAAAGGGTGATAGGAGGAGTTTTCTCTCTTTATTTTGTGTCTCTTTCATCAATCATAGAAAGCACTCAGTCATGGACTCATCAACTTCAACTGTTCCGGGTAATTCTAACACTGATCTCATTATAGTATTTCTTTATCACTTGTCATATTAAGAATTAGATTATAATTTTTTCTTCAAATGGTATCAGAGCTCGTCTAATTCTGATATGTCAGTGATTAATTTTGAAATTAATTTGGGGCTTTTGTTGC